TATTTAAATGCAAGTAAAATCATAAACATTTAAATTAAAACACTATCACACTACAATCAAAGGAACAAAACACATTCACATGTATTGAATAACTGTATCAGAATCAGGACAGCAGCAAAAGCAGAATGAGGAAAAAAAACATAAGCAGAACAGGAGTAGAATCAACTATAAACAATTTCATATGTACTGAATAACAGAAGTAGAACGGGAGCACATTCACATGTACTGAATAACATTTCATATCAGTTGTAAACAATTTCATATTAACTGGACAGCAAAACGGAAGCAGAATCAGGACATCCGTAGAATCAGCAAAAAAAAACCAGAAGCAGAATGAGAAAAAAAAAAACAAAAGTAGAACAAGAGCAGAATCAATTGTAAACAATTTCATATGTATTGAATAACAGAAGCAGAATAGGAGCACATTCACATGTACTGAATAACATTTCATAACAGTTGTAAACAATTTCATATTGACTGGACAACAAAACAGGAGTAGAATCAACCAAAAAAAAAAAAGAAGATTCAGAACCAGAACCAGAAAGAAAAAAAAAGAGAAATAGAAGAGAGAAGAAAAAGAGGAGACTTACCTGTGATCAATGAAGAAGGAGCAACGAGGAAGGAGCAGCGATCGTGTCTATCGATTCTGTCCAGCGATCATCTCTGTTGACTCTGGCCAGCGATCGTCTCTGTCAACTGTGTTCAGCGATAGTGTAGGAGAGCAACAATCGTCTCTGTCTGTGTCAAGGGGATAATTTGGTTTATTAGCATCTTATAATTTTTTTTTCAATTGTTCAATCCAACGGTCCATAATAAAAATAAAACAACTTCGCCTCACATGACTAAGATGTTCGCTTTTTGGCCTTTCACTCAAGTGAAAAGCGCTCGCTTTTCTCACTTTTTTCTCGCTTCAGTCACATTCGCTTCGCCTGGGTGCTCAAGGCGAGATACCTTCGTTTCACTTCACTTCTTGCCTAGGCAAGCTTTTCAAAACACTGATTTGAATTACATCATTCATCGCTTTCATGGCTAATCCTTTATATGCTCTAACATCACCAAAACTACCAAACATATTTGGAGCATACTAATTATCATCGCTAGATGGGAGTGGTACATTTGGGCATTAACTGTTTTTCTTCACCTATATAAACCTCAAAACATAAAACCTGTCATGTGATATGCATATTAAGGAGCACCAAGACTTGAGTTGGATTGAATTCAATGTGAATTCTTGATTTGAATTGAATTGTATTCTTGAATGTGTACATATATCAATTAAAATTGGTAATTTTGATAATGAATTATTTTTAATTTTTTTTTGATTTGTTATTATTTCCAGACTGAGTTATAAAAGGGACATGTGCTTAATACCTATTTGGACAGGTAAGTGGTGATTTATAGGTGATAAGATTTGAATTTGGCTCTGGAGATATTTATTTTTGTAAGCCCTTCTCCCTTTTGTGGTTTTGTTCCACTAATTTCAGCTAACATCTGATTTGGAGAATTTGACATTCCGATATGCTCATTGTAGTGTCACTTATAACGATTGTAAATGTTCACATTTGTTTAGTCATAGGATTGGATTTTATGGGTTGGTATTATATCATGATCAACAGTTGTTGCCATTATAAGTTTGGAAATTGCATTGGATTTTATGCGTGGGTATTATACTTGACTTTCCAATATGCTCTTTGTAGTGTCACTCATGGCGGTTGTAACTATTCACATTTGTTTAGAGATTGCATTGGATTTTATGTGTTGGTGTTTATCCTATAATTGGTTGAGGGGTTTGTTGATTGAGCAACAATTGTTACCATTATAAATTCATTTAGTAGAAGTTACTTTATTTTTTTCACTTGCTTTGTTGAACCAATGAATTTTTAGAGGTGGGATATGATTGTTGTGTTGTTGTTCCTAGCAACATGGAATTTGCATGCATTTTTATATTCTTCAATTTTTTGTTAAATTCTAGGATACATTTTTTCTTTAGTTCTTCACATGATTTGGGTTGCATTTTGGATGACTTTTGTTCTTTTTCTTTTCCAACCTTTGATTACTTATGAGTTGCTAACATTCTCACACAACTTTACATAGATTATTACAAACTTTTTTTTATTGCTTATCCATATTGTTTGTTTAAAGGAAAACAAGTCGAACATAATGGTGAATGCTAGCTATAAAGGAAAAGAAAAAACAAGTTGTTCTAGCGAAGGAAATGAAAATACAAAGCGCCGAGTGGAAATGAAAATAAGGACCTAACCAGGATCCAACCCCAAACCCCAAACCCTGGTCCGGCCTAGACCCAACATCATTGGCTAATTACCACATTAGAGTAGTGGGATTCGCTTATCTTACATCGTGTTTTATTATTGATTGGTGATACTACATGTCAATGATAACGTGGTATAATTGTTATCTTGGATATTTTCTCCTCCCAATAGGGCAAAGTATTTCAATACAATTAATGGGAGGGTTTTGGATCCCGGCACTTGATTAAGCTTAGGCCTTTTAGGGGCATGTTTGTAGATTACTCTAGCCATCGGAAAATGTTGTAACCTGTATCTCTCTATTCTACCAAAGTATAGCAGTGTGAGCCGTAGTCATAACTTGAGTTTGAGAGGACCACACAAATCTGTGTTTTATTTTACTAATAACACTAAAAAAATGACCTTTTTCTTTTGTTGATGTGTTGGTGGGTCTATACTCAATAACTCTGTTTTCAAGTATTCTAAGCATCTTATTGTGTTATTATTTTCTTTAATTTATTTTTCCATTTGTTTGTTACTTTGTATGAGCATCGATCTATCTATATACAACCTTGGCATGAAGCCCTCATATGGTCAAAGTTTGCAATTTGTTAGCTTGTAATACTACAGGGCTATATGACACCGGAGCGTTTGTGGGAAGACCAATGGCCCAATCTATTGTAAAATTTATAGCCAATTCTATTGGAAGGAAATGAAAGGTTTTGAGACTTCAATGTGTTTGATGGTATGTTTATATGATTGTTGAATCTTGAGTCATCATCATTGTGGTTTGAATCGGTGGAAGGGCTTGTATGGGATCGGGATGGTGGATTTGTGTTGTTGATTGTGATTATTGAATTACAAGAATGCACAATTCAAAGGTTTGCTCATGGTAAAAAGGGTTCATTAAATTTAATTCATTTATCAATTGGTAATTGAGGTTGAAATGTCTAAATTGGTGTAAGTTTTTGCGAGAAGTGGCATCGACCCATTCACCTCCCCCCACTAGGTCATGTTTGTGTGATTTCATGTTTATAAACATGTCGGGGCGATTGAACTACACTTCTGCAGCATTTATAAGTGTTTTTTGTTACGAGTCTTATGGGTTATTAGTCAATGAAAAAAAACAGCATTTGTGTTTTTAAGAATTAGAATTTCTTCTTCTTAAACTCTTGTCCGTTTGGTTGAGCTTCAGTTGGTGGTGAGTTTTGCTTTGAATTTCTTTGGTGGATTTCCTAGAGTGGTGAGCTCATCTTTTTCCCTTTGATGGTTCTTTCGTGGTTCAAAGTCGCGGTATTGGTCATCAACTCAGAGGGTACTAATACATATCGGTCGCGGCGTCGCGATGCAATATCAGTCACGACATCGCAATGCAATAGCGGCCGATATACTCAAAAAGCTAGATACAAGTTCTAAAAAAATTTGAAAAAATCGTAAAAAATTTTGAAAAATATAAACATCATCATTCATGTATCATATACTCATAATAAATCCAAAAGCACATTAAACATAATTAAAATAAAACATAAGGGGTTTAAGTAATATATGTTTATAAACTTCAGGGGTCTGAATATAAATTATTAGTTAGGGATCTAAGTGATTAAGTGAAAAATTTTAGGGGATGTAAATGTAATTATCCCAAATACAATTGAGTCACTGACAAGTGACAACACAGAGTCTTTAAAAGCCTCTGTTTGAACTTGGGTCCTTCAGAGACGCTGTGTATCGATCGATCGATCGATCGAGAGAAAAATCTGAGAGTGGAGTTGAAGAACCCACCGGCGATCACTGGAAGACAGTTAGGCCTGGAGCTGTTGTCTCTACTACTACGAAGAAGTCATCGTTCGATCATCATCTGCTACTCGAGTAGTCATCATTCGATCATCATTTGCTACTACGAAGTAGATAGAGTAGTCTCTGCTAGCTGGGTCCTCTACGAAGTTGATCGATGATGTTGGTCCTCTGCTACTGTGAAGAAGAAGAAAAAGAAGAACAAATAGTAGGAAAGGCTCTCAGATTAAGGAGATTTACCACAATTTTTCAGGTTTGTGTTCAAATTTGATCTCACTTTGTTGTTCTGTTTTATTATGATAAAAGGGGTCTGATTTATGGTTCAATTTGTCATCTTTTTTTGTCTTTTTTTTGGTATTTTTTCTGTTGCCTGAAAGTGGGTGGACGATTCTGTGGGTATCATTCGATTCAGAGGTGAATCGACCGAGTTGGACCGAGTTGAATCCAAGTTAGATCGAGTTGGGCCGAGTCAAAACCGATTCATGGCAGACTCATTATAGTCTTGAATCGTGTATCGTTATCGGATCGGTGGCTGCCGAGACGGATACAACTCGGCCGATACTTTGAACCTTGGGTTCTTTGCGTTATGATCTACTTCTCCATGTTTCTGGCATCACTGTCCTACAGGAAACAAAGGTCTGACCATTACCTTTATGACTATGGTAAGATAGACAAAATCAGGTTATGCTTCATCAGGTTTTTAAATGTGTATAAAGTATCTTTTTGTAGGGGTTTTTGAAAGAAGTATGCAAAATATCCACCAGCTTTAGTAAAAGTAATCTAGAATATATAAATATGTATATAATTACTCTATCCAATCGTTGTTTTTCTCTCCGCCGTTTACTCTTATGTGGATACCTTCTATATATAAAATGTCACGTCCCATATTTGTCTTGTCTGGAATACTTCTGTTAGCATATTTTATTCAAAGAATGTGGAGTAACTTCGGGATTTTTTTCCCAGATGAACCGATTGGCTAGTATTCCAGATAATGAAATTGAAAATCCCAGGAAGAAAAAACGAGAGACTCAATCTGGTGAAAAACCTCAATTGAAGCACCAACCTGTGTTGAACCCTATGACCACTGAGTTCGAAGATGAATTCTGGCCACTTTCAGGGAAACCATACTTTGATGTGGTTCTTACAAAAGCACATGTCAAGCCGGCATTTAATATGGTAATCAACTTTTTTAATAATCTGTAGTATGATTTCAATCAGGTGGACCTTGATCTTGGCGATAAATTTATTACCACTTTACTGTGATAACAGTAACCAGGTGATCATTTAATTACCTATATTGCTCTTGCTTATGGTAGATCAGGTATTATTTTGAATGACTGCAAATCCATATGATCCTTGCTGTTTTTTGGTGAGGAAGATAACTGATGGTGTGATGGTTCAGGTTTTTTAAACAATTTTGTGATACAATATTAATATCGATGGTGATTGTGTACTAGAATTAATGATATTTGCTTGAAGCACATTTTATGGCACTGAAATTGGACTAAATTTCAGTTGAAGGCACACTGCCTGCACCTTTTACTAGAATTTGGTATAACGTTACACCAAGTAAAGCTTGACCAAGTTATTGATATTTCCATTGAATGCTATTAGGCCGTGCCAGTGAAATTATACCAACTGCTTCCTTCTGCTGCGGTGCCTGCCGTTATCACATATTGTGGCCAGAACTGGCGGACTGTTTACCATGGAGACCGTAGCCAAAAAAGGTTTGATATCAGTTGGAAAGCATTTGTGATTGACAATGATCTAAAGATGGGGGATGCACTCGTATTTGAACTTATCGAGTGCAGTCGTGTGAAACTCAAGTTCCGAGTTCAAATTCTCAGAGGTGACTTTCCAGCTGAATTGATGGCTGGGGTACATGGTGAGACCTCAGACAATCCGATCTTTATTCAATAAAATTCACATTTTTTCACATGTTAATTTTTGTTACAAGCTTTTATTAACGACTTGTATTTGGAACTTGAGCCAATCACATCTACTGTTTGACGTACTGGGATTGGAATTTCTTTTGTTCATGTTAGTGCATTATGCTGGTTATGCTCTCGCTAACAATCTATTCCACGCAAGGTGGGTGTTGCCAGTTTCTTTTGAATGTACAGTACTTTCAGTAGAGAAGACTCTTATATTTTTTGACCCTTGAGCCCCTGTTGGAGTTTTTTCCTTTTGGCTTTTTTTGGGTTGTTGTTTGTTTTGGGTTTGGGTGGGGGATGTTCTTCAATTGAACAGATCAGGTATATGAGAATCAGAGATGCTTTTGGTATGTATAAGCGTAGTGCTACCCTCTGAAAGAGATTGAGTTACTTTTCCCCACTTTATCTTCTCCATCCAAACGGTTGTCTCTGAAAGAAGAAATAGGCTTTAAGCTGGGAGTATCACTTTCCCACGCCAATAACCCCCCTCTCAAACATGAATTATGTTAGGGTTGCCAACAGCTTGTGTCATGCAGTGAATCACGTGTATAAGAGGGTTCGTCTTCACCCATTTATTACAACTTAAACCCAGTAGGCCTAGACTCATACATAGTAACGTTATGTCGATTACATGTTGGATTGATGGTTGTGTTCTTTTGTCAGCCTTAGATGCAACTGTGTGAAATATGAAATACATTTCTCATTTGCTTCCTAAAACCCTACTTCATCTTCAGCACAAAATTGAGTACCCATCAACATGGAAAAAACTATGTCAATGGTTATGAGAATTGCATTCGATTTCTGTTTCTATGTAACCGGTCATAGGCCGCCCGGGTTCTCAGGTAAAGCGAAGAACTAGAAGCTACACCCAGCAAGGAGATGCAACCCCACAAGAAAAATGTCTCGAAGTAGCATTTTCTGCCCATACACACCGTTGACCCATCCATCAAAACAACCGTGTTTGAGCTTCCTAGGTTTGCATCATAGACCAGAGCTGCAAGAAGGCCATAGAGCAGCGATCCAAGCGGAATGTTGGTTATCAGAATGTTGTGATTGACACTGGCGCTGTTCGGTCCAAAGAGCTCTGATGTGATTGACACTGCTGCTGAAAATACAAACCCAGAGCTGAGTCCAATCAGCGCTGTTGCAGCGCTCAATGCGGCTTTACTGCCAGAGAGAGCAAGCAGAAAGAAGGCAGTTGGTGTTGGCACAAGGGCAACTGCTAGCCACCCGGTCCTTGCAAAGTATACCTTGCTGCATTAGGAAACATTTTTAGTGTCTATATGGAGGTGCAAATGAATCAAAACGAGCCGAGCACAAGACTACGTGGGCTTTTGGATTTTTTGTTTAGAAAGAGTGCTCGAGATGGGCTCAGGATCGTAACGAGCTCTGAATATTTTGTTTAAGCTCTGTTCGTTAATTTCTGACCATATTCGAGCTCAAGTTGTTTGATTAAATGAATTGAGCTTCCCTCCGTTCAGACTCATGTTAAAAATCAACACCATAAAAGAGAGATACTAGAGCAAATACTTACTGTCTCAGGAAGTCTGGAGCAGCTGAGAGCAAACGACCAAAGAAAGAACACACAGAGTAAAGTGTAACAAGGGAGCTAGTCTGTGAACTGTATCCAAGTGACTCTGAAATTTGCCCCAGATTGTTACTATAAACCAACCCTATTGTTCCCCCACAGAAGTATGCTATGTAGTACAGCCAGAAGTCCGACCGACGCACAAGCAATGTTGCCGGATGTTCCTCCCCAAGCGCTGTCAAGCGATCCTTCTCCCACATGGTGTCACAACACCCATCTTTGTCTTTTGAGTTATACGTGCTTTCAAGCAAAACATTAGTGCTTGAATCCTCACTCCCAATGAGCTCCTTATGAAGGTCAAGATCATCAATGTCAACGAAACTCGAGCCTTCCAATGGGAAGCTCGAGTGGAACGTTCGATCCGCCCATCCCCGAGCATAGGCGATCCCCGGGGTAACCAATGGAAGAATTAGCAAAAAGAGTGCTCCAGCTAGGAGGGTACGAGCTACTGAAGCATTGGATGATATCGAATTTAGTAGGAGGAGATATAGGCCAGTAAAACATGCAAGGCTATTGAGAAAGAGGAATGTGAGGGAGTCTCGACGCACCGCCTCAGCCGGAAGGGACTGAGGAGGGGGTTGCCGGAGAATCGGAACGAGGGCGGTGGCTGAGGTGATGACAGGGACAAGGGCATTGAGAAGAAGGTATTGAGTGTCATTGTTGGGGTTTGTGGCATTGGCAATGAGGTTGTATAGTGCTGCACTTACACCATTGAAACTGATGCTGAGGGACAAGGCTAGTGGCCTGTTGGCTGAGAAATTTTTGATGCATAGAACATAACATACTGTGTTGAACCAACAGATGCTACAACCAGCTAACAAACATAAGAAAAATACCTGCCAAGTTGCAACAAAGTTAGTATTTTTCTAAGCAAATTCAAAAGAAATAAACAAAAGCATGATTTATTATTTTTGTAAAAGTATTCCATATGTCTATTAGTACAAAATGACACATTTATGTATGCACATATGTATATTATTATGTATGTGATTAAGCTTGAAAGAACATAACAAGTCCAGATAAGGGAAAAAAACAAAAGTACAAGGCAAGCGCTAATTAAAAAAATAAAATTAGTTACAAAAACACTATCAAACGGTGCTTGTGCGCAAGAGTTCTAAACTTCTAGTGCATTGTTTTTGGCTTCTTATAAGAGATACAAGATAATCATTCAATTATTAAGTGGTGAAATTGCCAGAGTAATGCAGATTGTAAGGCTTTAGTATTTAGTATCTTGAGTTCCCAAAATCCGGATCTTGCACAAAAGACTTTTAAATGATCTGGTGCACATAGTTTTCCGGCGATTATATGTATTCTTAGCAGTTATGAATCCAAAAGGTGCGTGATTGGGAGGATAATAGTTGTAGGATAATATTAAGCAATGGCTTGGCAGGTAACCCCACTCAAAGAAGTGGTAGATGAGAAGATGGTTGTTTGGAGTGTAAGTGATTCAAAAACAATGCTTTATCAGGAGGATGACCAACTGCAACACCTAACATAGGTTGCTTTATTCAGTTACCATAACCATTAAGAAAGTCTACATGGTGAACCTATTCAAAGAATTATTAAAAAAAAAAAAAATTGCTAACACAAGGAAGTAATGTTTTAATTTGGTCCCAAATCACAAGGGTTATGTATAGATTTCGAAAATGTAGGGAAGCAAAGTATCACTGACTCACAAGAAAATAGTTTATAACATACCCTTTCTAGTATATTGAGAAAGGATTTATCATGGTACAAAAAAAGTAACTTTTCGATATCATATCTTATTTTTATGAATGAAAACTTGACACGTGTAAAAATTGTTTATTTTATTATTTTACTTTAATTTAACATTTCCACAATCAATAGTTAAAGATAAATCAAAGGAAGATCAAAGACCCAAATTATTTGGAGGTATGATGCAAAACACTTTTGAGTATGAAAAACTAAATGACTCCTCCCTTCATGTAGGCTTTTGGCTGTTTTCCAATTTTCAATGCTAATTTACAAGCAATTGAGTCTAGAGAAGACAAACATCACCAATATATCATTCCTTACATCACATTACTTAACAAAGTTTCAAACTGGTGAATTTTTCTCCTGCAAGTAACCAACCGTCTGACTATTGTTAACCAAATTAATAATTAAAAAGAAATGTAACTAAAAAACATTTCCTTTAGGGGAGTCGTTTTTTGTAGTTGTTGGTTTTTTTTTTTCGGGGGGGGGGGGGGAGTGGGACATTAGTTTCACATCTAGAGTTCTCAATCGAGCAATCCCAAATCAGAGACCTAATTCAATGTAGTCATTGGATTAGTTGTAATTTCTAATATTAGATAGAACCACTTTCAATCCAATAATTATATTGAATTAGGTCCCTAAATTATATCAAAATATCATTTTCCCTCTCGGTATACTTCTCTTCAATCTCCCTCAATAAGAAAATCACTCACATTACAAGATGGGAGATTCGCTTATATGCAGTGTGCTTTACTTTTCTTAGTTATAGTATCGTGGATTCTACTTAAATTCATAATAAAAGATTAATAATTATATATATATATATATAATGCAAGGAATTCAAAATGTATTTCTTCAAGCGACACACAAAATAGGATCCCAAAATAGTAGGAAAATAGAAAACAAATACAAAATACTACTATTTACCCAAATAAACACAAACCACTTGTAAGAATTAATAGGAAAATGAATAACCCAAGAATGAATTAAAATAAACCTAAATAGGTCATATCTGAAATCTATTCCTCAATGCATTTTGAATTCAAGATAATGCAAATGTAACAAATTCAAAGAAGAAGATCGAAATTAAGAACATATCAAAGCAAAAGCATAGGGGAAAATTAAAGTACCAAGAGAGAGAGGAGAACTAACCAAGCAATAAGGCAAGGAAATGAGTCTCTGAATGACAAGCCATTGAAGACCATAACCAAAAAGACCCATGAAAGCAGCCATGAACATAACAACCCATAATGGAAAATACATAAGGCAGACACCTGAACACCACCCAAATGCCTTACCCATATCCGATGCCACGGACAGGTAGCTCAGCTGCATCTGTGATATGCCCAAAACCGACTTTAAATCCGATGAATACGCCGAGAAATCGAAGTTTGTTCCTGTGAACGCCTGTATCCACGTACTCGCCACCAATATCACCCATTTTCTTGATTGTCCTACCATTCTTTATGCATCTATTTCTACATAAGAGAGAGGGAGAGAATTTATGGGGAATTTTCCGGCGAATTGACGAGTATTTTCCGGTGATGGTTGGATTATTTTCTTCATGAATTCATGTGTTTTTGCATGGTTTTGCTGTGTCGGATTTTGTTTTTTTGAAGGCTCAGGGAATGGGTGAAGCTGGTGATTAGGGTTGAGGCCTAAGAGCCTGAAACTTGATGTGTTTTTGAGGTATATGTTTTTCTAGTTTTATAGATTATTATATAATTAGAATTAACGTGTAGGTGTAGTATTGATGTTGATATATATATAGATATAGACATATCCATAGCCTTACGGTGGTTAGTAATTTGAAGAGCGCCGAAAGATCATCTTGATAGCCCTCTTCGGTCTTAAACTAGTATAACCGTCAATTATCTATTTTCGATATGAATTTTAAAATTTAAATTTTTAGCTTTAAAATATAAAATATGACAGATTTTAATAAATTTATCCGACTGTTTTAAATAGACTTATCAAATGATCACCAACATTTTTTTCAAAATCATTCACATTGCAGTGTACGTTTAAACACAAGTTATTCCTAGTATTCTATAACCACGACACAACAATAATTTTTTTTTAGAGTGAACACTTTAATTATAAACTTAATTTTTTGTTTCGCTTGACAAAAATAACATTGTACATTAAAAATTATTATAACATTCATTCAATATAAAACGGTTCAACGTCGATATATATAGCTCATACAAAGAAAAATAATAAAAAGAGATTAATTATAATTATTTACGATTGATCTTGACAAGTGTTGATTACACTTTAAAAGATAACTTCATTATTAATAGTACGAGGACTATTTTTTTCTACTAGTTAAAATTAAAAATAAAAATAATTATTTTTTTTTGTACTAGTTAAAATTAGGGGTAATAATCGAGTTGATTCGTATATGTTAGATTCGTATTGAATCATTACGGATTTGTGTTGAATATTAGTCAAACTGAACTCATTTAACTATTTGTGTCGTGTCGAGTTGACCTGCTTATTTTTGTATCGAGTTCGGGTCGTATCATTGTATTGAGTCAAAAGTTTTCATTTTTAGTTAAGATGGAAATTTTTTTTTTTTTTGTTAATTTAAAATTTTTTAATTTTTTTTAAAATACATATACATATTTTACCATTATATTTTTATATGAAATTAATGTATACATAAGATATATAAACAAATAAGATACATCTCAACACAAATAATAAACTTTCTACCCACTTTCCTTCCAATTTTGGAGAGATTGATTTTGGTGAGTTAAAAGGAAAGTTAATTCATCCACTTTTCTATCCTTCCTTATCAAATATGATGTTTTATTTATCCCTCCAACTTTTCATTTTTCCAACTTTTTATTCCCCCACTTTTCCATCGTACTAAACGGAGCATTGGTGAGAATATTCGGTGAGTCCTCAATGCTAAGTAGGTAGGGACGAAGCCATAAACTCAAGCTAGCGTGGGCCCTTACCTAGAAGTCGATTAAAAAAAAAATAAAAGCACTACTGAAGAAAAAAATCTAAACGAGAACTAAAATCATGGATCATACAGTTATTGAAGAGTAGCACAATTACTAATCTGGCCTTGCCTCTCATGGACATGAGGTGAATGGGTACACAATTGCAAATGTTACAACGGTTTGGAAGAAGGATATAGCTTCCTGGGTGGGGTTCATGGAAATTCATCACCACCAAAATATGCAATGTCACCAGGAATGGCGTCTCCCTCTCCTCGTTTTACGGAAAGGCTTGCACGCCTCGATGCTCAGATCAACGGCTGCAGTGAGTGCCATAAAGATGGCAGCGTCCTCTACGCAATTCACATGTCGCATAGCAAGTTGCACCAATGGCTTGCTGCATTTCCCTTCCCCTTTCACTCTACAGCTCATGACAAACCCCACAACAACTGGACTTAGTGCTGCAAAGTTTCCACTGCTTTGTGGGCTCGGTACTGGAGTTGCTGCTGCTCGAACCTGTCTGTCAGTGTCTATAAAGAACTCCCCACCCTTTTCGGCATTGATCAGTATCTCGGACATGAGAAGCTCCCCTCCCTCCTGGCCTTCAGATAGAAGGTGGAAACGACAGCAAATGGAGTCTTTGATGCCACGATCACGCCATGCCTCGAGCTTTCCCCATGGCTGCCAGCTCTCGGGTCTGCAAGCATCAGGTCGAACAATCAGCCAGGCTCCTGGGTTGGATCTGGAAACCCAATCACAACCTGTTGATGGCACAAAGGGAGTTGTTATTAAGGCAGCTGCAACAGCGGAGCCAGAGAGGTCGTGTATCTTCACCTTCCATCCCTTCCTCTCTCTTCTCTCTATCTCTTGGTCGAACCCGTCAACAGAAGTTGACCAATATGAGCTCAAAGGACCTGCCAGGGATACCCTGTGATTTATAATAACTGAAACAAATTATTTAAGGGCAAACTAGTTATTGGAACATCAGCATCAAGTTCTGTTCATAGGTAATGGCTGATGCAATTGCATTTCAAAGAAGAATATGCAAAACCACTTTCACATGCATTTAGATTGCCGAAAAAAGATGAGAAAAAGTAGAAATAACGATTCAGAATCCAATGAAAGACAACAGTCTGAACGAATTTTGCTGAATTTGAGTTTTCTTCCTTTCTCTCTCTTCCTCCCAACCCCCCCGCCCTCCCTCCTCTTTTCTTCCAAGAGAGGGAGGGTCCACAACTTGTTGGAACCTCTATGTAATAAGTTTTCGTTGAGTTTAGAAATTTTGTGCTGTTTCCAGCAAAAAGTCCATACATGTGCCCAGAGTTGAACCATTTTGGTGAAGGTGAATTCTTCAGCAAGAGGGTCAAGCACTGTGAAAACTCCATCAACCAATTAAACTATCTATGCAACGGAATCCAGAGCTAGTATGAACTCTGTAACATTTACAATTGCTTATGAAATTCAGATAGCTTTTACATTTATAAATAGAATAGTATTATTTGCAGCTCTTTCGAAAGTCCCAAATGATGATTAAAGCATAGAAGACATAACATAATCAAGAAACATTACCTGTCTTGACTAAACCTGCAACTGAAAATAGGCTGCTTGATTGTGCCTTGAAGCTGAACTATCTGGGGACTCAATTTAGTCTCGTCTTCAAACTGGAAAATGTATCTTGGATCAGGTTCCAGTTTCACTCTCAAATGCAGCTCTGCTCCCGGTTTTCCAGTCTCCTGCTTGTTTTTGCCAATGCCTATCCAGCCACTGAAGAGAATAACTGGCTTCCCTTCACACCATTCAGGACCCACTTCCAACTTAAATGTTCCAATCTGCTGTTTTTTAGTACCAGTCCCACAATGAGATCCCTTCCTCCAAGTGAAAACAATTATTTCCAGATATACACGAGGGGCATAGAAACATCCGGGTGCCAACAAAGTATTTTGATCAGATTCTTCAAAATCAAAGCTTGAGGCAATGCTGTGAAAATCTGGGGTAGTTTCAGGAGAAGATACATAGGGGACTGACGTTGTCTGCACTGGAAAACCTCGCAGACGGATGTCACACAAACATGGAGAAGAGAATGCATGGATCCCAGATTTTGTAGAATTCAAAGCTGTCCCACGATTTCTCAATCCCAGTGACCCTACTGACAACCTGATAAACGCTTGAGGATCCATTTTGCTCACAATTCTTTCTCCATTGATAGCAAGCTTTTATCTTGAACAACTCACAAAAGCCTGTTATGACAGTCAGAAACTGGAAATCAGGATAGGGACAATTTTACTAGTGTGTGATAGCAAACTTAACATCAAAAGAGAATTTCACATTTTTACAGGCAGAAGTTGCACCACTTATGTGATAGATTTATTTGGTACTTATACTGTTTTACTTCTCATTAAATTAAAAAGATGAGAAGGTCAGAGATTGAAAAGGGGAACATTAAAACGAGTAGCCCTATCTCAAAATTATTGAACCGTACTCTGTTTTTTTTTTTTCAATGGGAACCGTACTCAGTTCAATTAGGATAGTCAGGACCACAACTACGCCATAAGACATATACTTGGGAAAAATATAAATATCTTATTTACTTCATCAAAGACTTCATGACACTAATACTTGTTGATTCTTTTCATCAAGTAAAATTCATTATAAAGAGCCATAGAGAGGGGTGAACCCCAAGTACAACAAAGTACAAGTCAATATTGATGCTTATTGATTGCTGATGTTAAGTACAATGCCATCACTAGACCCTTTATTGTTCTAGGTACAACTAATCTCACTGTGTATAACAGCAAAACCATATTTTGTAATGGCATGGCCGGTGTCTACAGTCCTATATGCTTTGCAACAACTAGCTGTACATCTCAACAAGAAATGCTGCTCTAGCTTACTTAATTTGGTTGAGTAAGATGGATAACTAAGGAGCAACCTCAAAGCAACTCATGTATTGATTGGGTTGGAAAAATATATTTAAACAAACTCAGAACTACTATGGATAAAAGGGTCTTAGCAACTTTGTGGTAAAAGCAATCAAATAAAACTCAATTAACCAAAGAAAACCCAATTAATCAAGTCCTAAAAACAATTCGTTTAAATTTTAAATTTCTCTTAGTTCCACACACTGTAGCTAACCACAAACACACACACACACACAGGAAAAAACTTGAAATGGTGGGACATATTAGAAGCCGAATACTTGAGTCCAGAATAATCCCAGCCACTAAGACCATATTTTTGCCCACTTATAGATCGTTCATGAAAAAAAGAAAGAAAGAAAGAAAGAAGCCACCCCAATGCCGTCTCTTTCAGTGCTGAGTGAATCTGATTCAGCTTCAAGTAGCGAAGTAAGGCTTTCCACATTTTATTTGCAATACACATGAATCAGAGGGGGGAAAAAAGGTTCATAATAGAATCCTATACAGTAACTCAAACCTCGAAGGTGTTTACTAACTTCTCAAATATAGGAAAGAATTATCTTAAAGATTACTGACCCTTTATAGTCTAGAATTTTAAGACATTAAAATGCAAAGCCCTCTGTTACTTATTCCCAGCAGAAGTCTGACAAAGAATTCAACGTAATTATAATCTTAACATCAATTACTTCCTCAGCCAGTATATCCTATGGCTACCATATAAACCATGATCGAACAGGACACCCGTAAACTAGACTATACAAATATTGAGACAATGAATTATGGTACTTAGCCTTATGCCAGTCTGCTCCAACAACAGCGTCAACATTTCTTACTCTAAATATTAGTTCATTACTTCAGTGTTTAGTTTACAGACACATATATATTAATTAGGGAGAAACAAGGAACCAGAAATATTTACGTATTATTTTTCTTTTCCTTCTTTTCTTTTCTAGTACTCCTTTTGGCTATTGGAGGAATTGAAAGGGAAAAAATTTAATTCTGGGATAATGCCTAAGAAAGGAAGCCTCATCTAGCCATTTTAAAGCATGCTGTTTTCTTTCCTCATATTCATAGCAAAAACCAAATGGTACAAAAAGATTTACCAATATTGAAATTAGAGCTAGTATGTTAATCTCAACATAAAAAAAACAGCAGCAGCAATATCAGGGTTGGTACTGAAGTGTGTGTGTGAGGTATATTTAGATTTGTCTGCAATAATGGTGTAAAATCTGTAATAGTTTTCGATTGATCTGAATTCAAGTATGGATACAAATCACTACCTTTGTCTTTTTTCTTTGGCAAAACCTCAAATTAGTTATTTCAATAAATTCCTTAATTGCAGCTTCTTCTCATAAACATTCTTCATAATTGTTGCAGTTATGTGACAATTCACAAACCCATTCAATCAGCAATAGCAGGCTTCTTCGTTACAAATTCTCCTATTTTATGTGACACAATTCAATTAGAGCCATAATTCGAAACTTGTCAACTCCGCTGGGGCGGGCCACGAGGGATGGATTAATCTAGTTTTACATAAACTAATCCGAACACCACTTAATGTAATACCTTAATTCACAACTGCAAGTTTCTAATGGACTCAATACAAGAAACCTATATAGTATGAGAACAATAACTTACAACTATGAAACTGAACTTAAACTGCCAACTATGCTATTTCTACATAAACATCGCCAAAATTAGCAAAAATTTAAGTCAAACACAAATAAAATACAGAAGATTAGATAAAGAAGAATTGACAAACAGCTAAATAACCGAAAACCCACCTTAATCCTTGCAAAAAGCCTGTGAAAATTATTATCATAGCTTTTTCGTTCATACCCATCAAACAAATTTCCAAGAGAACAACATTAATGATGTAAATTCAGTTTCTTCTCATCCAAGCGCACCAAAACATTATATGGGTCTCTCTCTCTCTCTCTCTCTCTCTCCCTAAACTTCAGAGTAAGAGAAATAATAAGAATATGAATGATCAAAGAGGGGTTGATGAAGAATTGAACCAAAGCACCAAACCCTCTAAGAATGTATCACGCAGACTGTCCACGGATCACAAGAAACGCATATATATATACGTTGAAAGTGAGTATCAGTAGACAGTAGATTGTATTACATGCATTTATGGTGGTTTAAACAGTGAAATTTTACTTTCTTTTGGGTAAGTGTTTAACCAGTGAAGTTAAAAGAGAATAACTGGGCCTGCATCATTTGGGACAACATAGGCGGAGAAGGTAAAGGAATGGTAATAATTTTAGTGTAACAAATCACCAAAACATTTGATACATGGTGAAGACTACCATACCCAGAAAAAACATACAGTATCATATCATCATGTACAAATTTTGTGCGTTTTCTTATAAATTTTGAGTGTCATTTACAATTTTCGGGATTGTTATAAATTTTGTGCGTCATTTACAAATTTTGAAATTCCTTTGGGTTTTAGGATCAATCCTAATGTAATCTAAAGAGTTGTAAATAATTATAAAGTTATACATTTTTTTTTGTATAAAATAATCTAAAAACTTGTCTCTCAACTTATAAAATTTAACAGTATGGTAATAATTTTTTTTGGGTACCACAACCTTTTCCGTGACATATATAGGTAAAGATAGAGAGAAAAAGTGAGAACAGAAGACGGATTTTTTAGATGGGGAAGAAAAAGGGGTCTATAATGCAAAAAAGAAAAAAATGAGGTGACAATAAGTCATTCTACAATAATATGATTAATTTCACTTGAGCCCCGTAAATTTTTGTCGTAAAAATATTATAACCCTTTGATGTTTAAAACATGACACAACAATCTTAATCAACGTTTAGTATAGATTGATGTCAATAATTAAACGAGTGATTCCAATCTAATGTTGACCCGATCCGTTTATCATTTGTGATAATTAATGGTTTCAGTTTGGGTTATGGATTATGGTCGATTTGTGTTGTATTCATGTTTGACAATTAAAAGTGACATCCTAGTTGGAACAAAGTGGAGGTGGTGCATGGGGAGTGAAGGTGGGGGTGGATTGGGTGGTGTTTTAAGGCTGGAGTTGGTAATTTTAGTGTTGATTATGAGCGCATTTTAGGACTTTCTATGGTTAGTCTTTGTGCATGTAGACAAAGGTCGAGGTTGAGGTGGAATTTGTGTAATTTGGATAAACACAAAGTTCCAATGTTTGATGGAGTCCACAGTTAATTCAAATGTCAGAATGAATTAGGTCTCAATAGCATTACTCTTATAATTTATCAAAACAACCACTAATAGATACATCCAATAAGTAAATTGATTTTTTTGTTATAAAGTAGGTGAAATTTTATGGCTTTCGTATTCGTTGAGTGTGCCAAAAAATTCTTGAATTTGTATATTGTCAATGTACACCGGTACAGATTCAAAGCACTTGGAAGGGTTGAACTCCAAAGTCTAAAATACTTTCCAAGTACATGGTAGTTGGGATTCCACTTCTTTGCAGCTACCTTCTCTCCCATTTAATTTATACCAATCACACATCATGTGTCTCAATTAAGACCTATTGCATCAAAGAGGCCGAACCTAAGTAAGACTTATAATGATGACAAGTTATCATTTCCGACTATTCCCTTAAGTTTAGCGGTTGATGACCGTGATTTGAGGTGGATTAGTGCATAACCATGAAAAGAGAAATGATTGAACCTGAGACTTCTGAATTATTAAAAGTTAAACTCAATCACTGAACCACTTCTAAGAATTTACAGATTCATAAATTTACGTCTAAAGAGATGGAATTTAAAATGATGGCAACTATTCATCGATTTAAATAAATACATAATGCGTTCGGGTTTGAGAATTCGTCTTTTCAGAGTTAACGTAAGACTATCTATATCTCACTTAAATTTCTCTGTATGTAAGAGCCTTATATTTCGGGTATGATTTTTTTTTTGCTTGTCGTTTTAATTAAATCTTAGTAAACAATGGAATGATTGATTTATATAAAGTAAGTGAAAGAAATTAGACAGTAATCAGATCCCTCGGAGAGTTGGTTAACGATAGACTTAATAACTGCTACTCTTAATGTAACAATTAATTATAACAAATAAAAAAAATATGTAAAAAATTATAAATACTCAAAAAACATTAAAAACACGAATTCGAATCTCGTCGTCAGTCTCTTGCTAACAATAAAAAACTAAACCTGTTGAATTGAACTAAATGAAGAGGTCAAAGTAGTGGCGCCTAGGCAAATGGCACATAAATAAGAAGCCAAAAGGAGCAGTTAACAAAACAAAACAAACCCATTGAACAACTACTACACGAAGAAAAGAAAAAACAAAGTAGGTGCTTACGAGGTACCATTGATATTGTTATGTTGTATTTATACTCGAAGAAAAATTACCACAATATTCATTTGTCAAATATAAATTAATTTTTTCAAAAAAAAAAATTGACAACGTTTCAAATGACAGTAATTAATTAAGAATGTACGAAATTTTATGGACTTGAATATAGTACAGAAAAAAAAAAATCGTTGTCACACCTCTAAAATTTATTATTTGAATAGGTATTTTTATGGGTTATTTTACAACAAAAAAATTCAACACTTTTGTGGGTGATTTATCACTTTTTTGGTACAAAAAAAATCACCACTTTTGTAGGTAATTTACCACATTTGTGAGTGTTTTTACTACTGCTGCTAGTGTTTTATTACTGTGATGATAACTATTTTTACCACTTTTCTTCGGTATCACAATAGTGATAAAAATATCCATAACAGTGATAAAAACATTCATAAATATAATAAATGTCAATACGATATCCATTTCTTTCTATACCTTGACAACTCCATATTTTATAGGTGACGGGCTGGTAAACACCGAAAATTTTCCCTAAACTTCACGCATGTTGCATGCAACTGGGACAGATTCTATGAGTGTCATCTGGTCTTGTGTTTCCCTGATTTTCTGGAATTATTTTTTCTGGGGATCCAAACAGATACAAAACTTACCTAGATTGAAGCCAAGATTTGATCACCTAACCCCCTTTGTTTAGAGCAAATGTCAACGAATGAGTAATAATTGGTATCCAAATTTGTGGGATACCGAAATACAACATTTGAACTAACTTCAATCACGTACTCTGAATTCAAGTTGAACCCATTATATACAAATGAGTTTTGCGTTTATCAATGCTAAATGATATTTCAAGAAGAAAATTAGAGGAAAAAATTATTAGAAGAGATTTGAATCCCTCAAACATCATTTTGAGGTGGCTCATATTACAATTTGAACAATCATGAATTAGTCGAAAGCAAGTCGATCTTGAAAAACACTGACCTTCAAACTATTGTACCAAAACAATTTTTGAGTGTAAAAATTTGACTTCTGGTTGATTTTGAACCTAAATTAAAGTGAGACTAACTCATTATTTTGAGTAAATTTTTGCGCGTTCGTGCTCTACTTTGTAATAAGAATTATGTAATATATTTGCTTGCTCAAATTGAATAAAAAGTGAATGAGAAAATAAGTTTAAAGTGACTCATTTAGAATGTAAAAATAAAAGTTATGACACGTGAGATTTAACACTTATCTCACATTGATTGAGCAAAGAAATTTTGGTGGATATGTATACTCCAAATTTGTTCTAAGGGTTAGACCCCAAAAGACACCTCGCTTTTGTAGACGGGAAAAGACCTAAATGGAATTGAGTTCAACCACACGCACCACTACCGCTAGACCGGCTCAAGTACCTGTATGGATGTGGACCTAGACGAGTGTGGGAGCATATATATCCCAAATTTGTTCTAAAGGCTAGAGCCACAATAGGCACCCCACTTTTGAGGACAGGAGAGGATCTAGATGGACTTAGGTTCAACCATATGCCCCCATCAGTCGACCCAAACTCGGGTATGGGTGTAATTCATATCCAATCTTATCTTTTTGGGTAAAATCCATTTGCTAATTGGATCATTAATTTTGTATCTGAATTTAATTTTTTTGCTTATTGGAATTCAAAATTCAAACCGATTCAAATTTATATTTCCTCCAGTTGAATTTGAATTGTCTAATGCTTGTTCATCAATGGGTATCTCTGGTGTCTTTTTAGGTTGCATCTGATAAGTGGTGGTTGTTTCAAACAGTCACCTTTGTATTATAAATATACTTAAATTCATTCAGCATGAACAAAATTCATCATTAAGGCTGTTAATTATATCCATCATTCTTGCGATTAAAAGTATTTACAGAGAGTACAAAATGTAATTTATGATCCGTTGTGCAAACAGATCATAGTGCTCCTTTTGTTTGCGTGATCATTGTATCCCTGGGAGGCAAACACCTAACAATCCATATGCACCAGAGTGGAGGCAAAATCTGTTTTAAGAACATACTATCAAACATAGCCTTGATTGAATTCTCGAATAATTTCTATTTGGCAATTGGGTCCGTTTTTACATGCTACTGTTTTGTTCTTAATTGCACGATTTAAATAAAAAAAATTTGCTGTGGTTGTTAGTGTTGGGAGGATGTCTCAAATTTGCAGAATACAAATATTGGAGCAATGCTTACAATGGCCATATTCAGCTTCAACGGGAAACTTATACATAAATCCAATAAGAACAAGATATAACTAAGCATATATGCAAGGGCTGCACAACACTCGAATTGCAATCACAGGTCATCACAAAAAGTAAAGGTCACCTAGATCCTATTGAACTACTACTATATATATACATACCATCATCCATGGCTACAGGAATCACTTCCATCTTTTGAACTTTCCCCCATGCATTCCAAACCGGCCATGCTTCCAGCGCTTGCCGAACTTACCATGCTTGAACTTGCCATGCTTAAATTTCCCATGGTGATGGCCAAAGTGACCACCGTGTGCAAGGTTATGCCCACCGTGTGATAGATGGTGAGCCCCGTAAGCAGCGGCGGCAGCAGCTGCACCCCCGGCTAGCAAGGCTCCAAAATTTGGTCCGTGCCCTGTAGAAATTATTCATATTGGATTACCAACAATCAACAAAATAATGTAGCACAAAACATAGTAACCAACAACCAGGATTTGAGGATCAATAGCACTTGTAAACATGCAATCCGAACAGGTAAACTATACTAGATATTTGTGGATGTAGAAGAGAGGCAGAGAAACAAGAAACTTAGAAAGGGAAAATATTATCCACTCTCTTTGTTGTGCCAACTTTTATTTTGGTACTAGATATTTTCTAAACAAAGATTACAATTTTTACGAAGAACCATGTAAAATTTATGTTTAAATGCTGTTTCTTATGAATCAAAGAACCATCTGGATCCATCCAGTGGATGGATTTTGACCAGTGAAGGTTTCTTGTTTCCGTTTTAAGAATTTCTGGTTTGTTACTGCAAACCAATATTATTCTAGCATTTCTTACTGGTAGAAACAGCCACAAAGCTTTTATGTTGTCAGATAAGTTACACCTCGCTAATAGGAAGTTTAAAATGGAAAGACTTTTCAAGGATGCTAAAAAGAGCCTTGAGTAGGTTAGATATGGTAAGTCATCTTGGCTTTGCATTTACCAAGAAACTTGGAGATGCATACCATTATATTCTTCCCTATGCAAGGGTAGACACAGCATATCATGTATCTCAGACTACAAGAAAGAAAGATAAAATGACTAACAAGTGAATCAACGACAATTAAAAAATAAATCATCTGAATAAGAAGGATAATGCTCATCAGCATAAAGACAGAAACGTCAATATATATGAGTAGAGCAAACTAAATCAGTTTAAAAGCATGCTCAAATGTGCGAAGTTAGAAAAACTGAGATGATGATATGGTACAAAGTTAACCTGAACCTGAATGATATGGGGCTGATGGACCTGGGTAACCCGCTGTGGGATATCCACCGTGGGGAGGATATGCTGGTGGTGGGTATCCAGCAGGGGGAGGATATCCAGGTTGTGAGTAACCCCCTGGAGGAGGATATGCTGGTGGTGGGTACCCTCCGGGAGGAGGATATCCAGCTGGTGGGAACCCCCCTGGAGTAGGATAAGGATATCCTTGAGGGGGGTATGCACCCGAGGGGTTATAGTGTCCAGCAGCATATCCAGCAAGGGAAGAGAACAGCCCTTTGTCATCGTTATCATGCCCACGCTTTCTGTCTCCCATTTTTCTTCAAATTGAAACTGCAAACAGAGAACAAGGGGTGACATGCGACATTGATTTATAGAGAATGCAATGCCAGTAAACAATACGTGGGACCATAATCTACAATACAAGATACTGCATAATGCTTCCTATCTATGATTTGCTTAAAAGCTTTTGTTCCCAATATTACGTAAACCCCCTAAAATAATAAACATCTCCAGATACTTAGGTGTCGTTTGGTAACTTTGTGTTTTTATTTTTTTTCGTTTTTGTTTACATTTTATGGCAAAAACAAAAAAAACAAAAAGGCGTTTGACGAATGTTTTCATTTTTTTTAACTGCTCCGTTTTGAAAACAAGGCTAAAATATGAAAGCATCCAAAATAATGTTTTTGAAAACATCCAAAAAAAAAAACAAACGCGTGGTTTAAAATATCTCATTTAATGAGATCCTGGCTTCAATCTTCCTTAGCAACAAAAAGTGAATTTTCTTGCTTTAGTATAAAAGGAAAATACTATTTGAACCTAATTTGGGGACCTAATCTAAAGACCTAATTTAATACAACCATTGGATTGGTTGTGGGCTCCATTTAACATTGGAACTCACAACTAATCCAATGGTTGCATTGAAATCACATCATTAGGTCCCCAAATAAAATCCCTATAGCATTGCTCAGTATAAAAAACCCCTATCTCTTTCACCTTTTTTTTTTTTTGTTCAAATCTCTCGACTCTCAATCTCTCTCTCTATCTCTTTTCTCTTCCTCTCTCGCCCTTCTATGATGGGTTTTGCTGGGGAGTTTCAGGGGTGGGTTTCGAGGGTAGTGGTGGGTTTTCAGGGATAGGTAGTGGGTTTTGTTAAGGAGTTTCAAAAGTGGGCAGTGGGTTTCGATGGTTGTAGGGATGGGTTTCGGGGGTTGGGTTACGGGTGGGTTTCAGTGGTTGTGGTGGTGGGTTTCGGTGGTGGGGTTGGGGTGGGTTTCGGTGGTGGGGTTGGGTGGTGGTTTTTGGTGGTCAGTGGGGTTGGGTCGTGGGGTTTGGATGGTGAATTTTTGATATAATACAAAACAAGTTTTTTATTTTTGTTTTTACAATTTTGTAAATATAAATGACTACTAAACATGATTAATATTTTTAATTTTTATCACAAAAAAACACAAAAAATTAATTTTTTTTCATTTATAAAAGAAAAAGATAAAAACGAAAACGTTACCAAACGCACTTTTATATTTTTTGGAGAATATTTTGTTCACTTTTAGGGGGAAAACAAGTGAACAAACAAAATAAATGGGACTATAAATGCACAAAACCATGCTTCAAAGCTCCGCATATGTCCAATCAAAACAGAGTCTTTCTAAATAATCACAAAACTTCACTGTTTCTCAACCTTGAAAGTAATGGGCAAGCACATCGTAAATCAACTACACACAAAGACATTCAAGATGTTTATTTTTTATTCAAGCATGTACATCTCGTTTTATCTATTAGTACATATGCAGCACAAAAAAAATCCCATGAAAACCTTCTATGTAGTACGTCACACCTCATAGATAGAAGCAGAGATAGATAAATTGTTGTTAGTAATCCCAACTATCCTTTTTGATAAGAAATTAAAGGTTTCCATAGCCTAAAAGAGAATAAAAATAATGGCAAACAAGGAGTACAGCCACTAAAACAATAGAAAAGGTAAAAATAGATAATTCAATAAAGAACTCCAAGGCGAAAATTTTTAGAAACTCCACAATCTTGATTTCTTCATCCAAGATTCTTCTATTTGTTTCCAACCAGACAACCCAAAAAATGCCATAATAGCACAATCGAAAAGTATTAAAGACCTTTCAATCCAAGCAAGCTTGTAAGGAACCTTACATAGCACTTTGAAGATTCAAGAACTCAAAAGTTGGTCCAAGTCGAAGTTTCAAGATATCCTACCACATTAAGAGGGAAAGCTCAAAACAAAAAAAAATAAAGCATGCTAATTGCTAAAGGCCGGTTTGCTATCATCTCGAAACAGCTACTTTGGCTACTCAACCGCAAGGGAAAACCAGCACCGCCAGACATTGTTTCTTGATGGGAATTTTGAAAAAACTGTTTTCGTCAAATTACCTTAAAGCGATTTATTGAGAAGAAGAAACATTTATCTTAATCCTTTTTATGTGCCAATTTCTTGTTAATCAAGAACAAAAACAAGGTGAAATACTCATGTCCAATATTCACAAATTACATGCCTCTAACATCTCTTCTTCCAAAACCCACAACCCACAACCCTCTTTTCCCCCACAGATACACATAAAAAGCGACAAAGAGGTGTTCATATTCAATTCCCATAAAATCCCAAATTAGCAAGTATGGTATACATTGCGTACAAAGAAAAACAAACCATCAAGCTTGTAACAACAAAAGAACAAACAAACCCATGATGAACATCAAGCAAACAAGAAAAAGAAATCCTAACGAGAACATAAACCAAAAAGAGATAAATCCCACCTGTCAAGCATCACAAGAAGCTTAACGATTTTATTAAACATATAGACTCGAAGGGTTAATCCATTAATCATGGCTAGAGAGAGAAAGAGAGATAGAGAACCCAAATGGTGTACCTGAATTCTGAATTGATAGGTATGAAATCGAACTGCTTCAACAGAAATCGAACTGATAGATGTTTATAGTTGGGGAATCGCACTTTGCACCCCGGAGATTTATAAAAATTTATATAATACCCACAAGTATTGAGTTTCTTATATTATACCCTCTCAGTGTATTAAGAGTGTTGCAACTTATAATATTGCTCTTCCATTAGTTCCTATTATTCATTCCGTCAAAAACTGCTCCACAGGCATTGATGGAATAGAAGGAAAATATTAGAACATTTTTAATACATTAAATATATAATATAAAAATTTTAATTTTTAAAAGTATTAAAAATTTAAAATTTTTAGAGGTATAAAATGCAATTTAATCTTTATAGTTTCATAGGCACACGTACACCTTCAATCTCACACGTTACTTAATCGCGTCTACTAGTATGTAATTTAATACCGACATCCCTTAAATTTTATTAAAATAGAAGGTGATGGTGCACAATCAACTGCTAGGATGTAATTTAATACCGACATCCCTTAAATTTTATTAAAATAGAAGGTGATAATACACAAATTATGCTATGCACATTCGGTCAAGTATATGATTCTGGATAATTAATGGAGCAATTAATAGTAAAAAACAAATATTAAATGATTGGGCCGAGGTGACCTAATCACTGAAGACGATGACAGTGACCGAAAAATTTTATTAATAAAATAGTAGACGCGAGAGAGAGAGAGAGTAAAAACAAGCTCTATGTGTGGTGAAATAACTACATGAGAGAGATAGTTGTATGTCTTTCATGTGTAGAGGGCTCAGGCACAGAGTCCTAACCAAGGCGGTGGCATGAAGGTTGGGTTACTAGTCTCTCAGGGAGGAGAAAAAATTCATTACAATGATGATATCACGTGACAAAGTGATATGGTATCACCAACTAATAGTACTAAAACAAATAAGCACATAGAACCCACAAAAATTAATAATTAACCTGTCATATAAACAAATAACTTCTCACCCTCCTGTCATGTCAGCCCAAGTAGGGTTCACCTTTCCCATTTGAGATTTTATTATTGATAGGTGATACCATGTCATCAATTACCACGTGATATTATCGTTTCATTCAATATTTACTCCTCGAAGAGAGTAGCTACCACTATGGATGAGTAGAATAAAGGATAGACATGATTTTTGAGAGTTGGACCGGGCTAAGGTCACAAACTAAATTTGACATACCTTCTAATTAATTTGAATTTCCCAAAAACTGGGCCTAGCCGCCTAGCCCAATTGGATTTGGGCTTGCCAAGAGGTACAAATTATATTTGGAAAATTTGAAGGCCGGTCCTCTTATATGAACTTGTTTGAATTTAAGTCCGTCAAAAAAAATTATTTGTTATGAAGTCCGTTTTTTGTCAATTTTATCATATTATTCCTTCCTTTTAGAAGTGAAATAAAACTAAAAATTAAAAACTCTTAAATTTTAGGAGTTTTACTAACATTAAAATCTTTTCTAGCTCATATATATATATATATATATATATATATATATATATAGTAACATTAAAAATAAAAAATAGTAACATTCAAATACAAAAAAAAAATTATCATTTGGACACAAAAAATAATATATTTAAACACAAAAAATAGTAACATTTAAACATAAAAAAAATTGAAACATTAAATATTAATATTTTTAAAAAATAATAACAGTAACATGTTCAACAAAAATAGTAACATGCTTAATAAAAACTATAACATACTTAACAATAATTATTTTTTTTCTCAAATTCAAACGCAAAAATTAGTATAATTCAAATACAAAAATAGTAATATTCAAAAAAAAAAAAGTAACATTGAATATTAATATTTAGGAAAATAATAGTAGTAACATGTTCAATAAAAACAGTAACATGCTCAACAAAAACAGTAACATGCTCAAAAATAATAGTACATGAACAATAACATACTCAACAAAAACAGTAATATAAACAATAACATAATAAAAAAAATAGTAACATGAATTTGAATTTTATTATTCAAATTCATAGTAATTTTTTTTTTCGTTTTTGAATGTTACTATTTTTTTTAATGTTATATATATATATATATATATATATATATATATATAAGAGGAAAAATTTTAATATTAGTCAAACTCTTAACCTATATATGAATATAGATAAATATGAGAGGGAAAAGATTAACTTCCTTTCAAGGAAGAGTATTTTTGAGATAAAAAAAAAGTAGACCGAAGTCATTACATATAATTTTAAACATAGACTTATCCGTTATAAGTTTTTTTACAGGACTTATCTCCAAACAAGTATATCTAAGGGGCTCATTTTCAATTTTCACATTATATTTTCCCTAGATTTTAATATTGAATTCACTCAAATTTTATAATCTTAGAATCTTGTCTATTTTCTCGGGTCGGGAAACTCTTGATTTTCAAGATTAAATTAAAGATTGAATGTCTTTACTTTGAGAACTCATAATAGTCGTCGTTAGTTTTTATAACGTTATTTATTCTGACTTGGTGGGAGATATGCATTGGAGTACCAATGTGTGTTGTGCACCGTACCCATTAACATTTTTCAGAACTACATAAAAATTCTGAATTTAGGATTTTATTAGAAAAAATGTTTTTTTAATAGTTACACAACGTCAGTATTATTACGTCAAATAGCCACTCAATGATAAACAAATAAGTGATCAAAGTGAATCCAAGAGAGAGTCACGTAGCAATTGATTGAATATGAGACTTCAAATTGTTGCAATTTTCTCTCCTATTTATCTATTTTTCTTGTTGATCCATCAATGAGACTTTGAATCAAAACATTCTCAAACATTGTTGATGTAGAAAAGTCGAGTTATTTGATGGCATACATGCCGAAAGGATTCATTTGGAATTACCAAGCACAAAACAAAATCACATTATTTTAAGTGTTCTTTCATCAAAGTAATGTATCTCGAGTTCGAGCTTGTGAATCAACATTTTCAAAATAAGGGAAATATCTCTCTTAGAATTCATATGCAGTGAGTCTTGTGTAATGAGTACCATTTTTTATTTTTATAAGATAAATGATAAGATTATTTTTATCACATGCCAATTCTTTGATGATATGTGCTGATCAGTCTATGTAACTTGAGTATATCACTCTTGAAAGTGAGCAAGTCCTTTAGCCATGTGTGGTCTAAATCGACAAGTAAAAAAATTATAGTATACTAGAAATTGATGAACTCTATAAGATTAGGCATGAAATACTATCACAAGGGTCCCAAGAAAGAGTGACAAAATACACCACCCCAGTGAAACATTTTCCATGGGATGAATATGAAAATTTAGAAGCTGAGTGAATCTTGGGGTTGCTCTAAGTAATAATAAGAATAAATTATAAATTTAGACGTTCTGTACTCCAATTTTGACAATTCTTTGGAGTCAGACCATGAGAAATTTAACCTTCATGAATACCTTAATTCCAACGTAAATGGTCTATCTTTGATCGAATCGGAGAGATGATTCACCTTAGCTCCCTGGTTATGGCTCAACCACTCATTCCAACTAAATAACACAATTCAAAACACCAAGTTTCTTTAATTGACAGTGATAATTGATAATGCACAAAAATGACTTTATGCAAAATCAATTAATAATGAAATAAAAAAGACCCAACACATGCAAACAAAAAGATTAGGTGGTTCGCTTTAGGTGACCTACTCCACTTGGAATGATTACGATTATGGTGGCCGAAAAATATTATTGCTCAAGAGGCGTAATGTGCTGAGACGTGTGTCATGCGCCCCATGTGTAGATGAGGCTTATAATTTATAAGAGAGTATAATCTTCATGGCGCCCCAAAGTGGGCTTTGACGGAGACACCATCACGGGGAACCTTGATTAAGGCGTTACCCTTGTGACGAGAATGGGTGATTCCGTGATATTGGCATAATAGACGAGGTAGTTAAGGCTTGTAATGCGTACCCTAGTTCCTTTCCTATGATGGAGATCTCACATACATCACTAATAGATTGGATTTCCTGAGACAATGGACTTGGCCCTTGTTAGCTTATATTTTTTACGGTAAATTGGAAGGGGGTACATCAAATTAGACTTAATTATAAAAAATTACACAGAAAAAAATGTAGAGTAAAAAAGTCTTTAATATTAGTTCTTATCTGTGTCCAAGCATATAATTTGAAATTTTCAAATTTTTCTTTGACATTTGTGTCCTTCCTTAATTCATGCAATTTATTTTTAAAAACCAATTTTTTTTCCAGATTATATGTATGCATTAAAATCTCCTAATTTAATGGAAGATTTGATTCTTTCTGTTTTTTTAGGATAAATGTATGCATTAAAAATCTTCTAATTTAATGGAAGATTTGATTCGTTGATTCTTCGGTTTTATTTTGAGGATAAATCAATTGGTTTGAATTTTAAATTAGTGTAACAGTAACAGTGTAACAAGACACTTACACAAAATATTATATTATTACATTTTGTCAAACATATATTTGCATATAATTTCATTCAAACAGTTCATCTATATTTTAAATTTGTTATCACATCTACAAAACCACTAAACATTGTTTTTATTACAGTGTATTTTTATATTTTTTTTGTTACACTATGAGGGAAACACAGTCAGCAGTTAGGAGATACACACAGTTTATTTATACATAGTGAATTAATATGGCAGAAACACATGACAAAAACATCATATTTCACATAGGCCAATGATCAACTTTCAACAACTGATTTTGGTTTTCAAATGCTGAAATTCGTACAAATCTTCAAAAAATAGATGTTGCTGTCGATCTTACATCAAATTGGTTAAACAATAGATTTTTCTTCAAAGACGAAACCCTATAGATGTTTAGGGAATAATTTTAGAACGTATCGTTGAGGAAGATGAAGTGATTTTTGGAGAGAAAGAAGCTCAAACGTTTTCCAAATATGAAGTGCTTCGCAAATAAATATTTCTAAATTTCAGCGGTAAACCATTATTATTGTGTATCTAATTAATTAATTGAGATATATTCCTAAAAACGTT